ACTTAGCACGTCTGTATTTTCTCCTTGCAATTTAGTGATAAAAAGCACAGTGAATGTACCTTTTCACTTTTTGAAGTACACATAACACTCGGATTTAAATCCGAGGTTTTCGCATTTATTTCTATTTATAAAGAAAAATACTTATATATCCAAATGAGATTAAATCAGCATTACTTCGTCTTCTTTGTAATAATGAAATTGAATTTGATTTTATTGAAGTTTTACAACGCTTACCATTTAATTGGTCTTTAGCATCATTATCTCAAATTCTTCTACGTACCTTAAGTACTTATTCATATACTCAACGATCAACTAAAATAGAATCATTTTTAGTTCGTGTACAAAATGAAAAATTGAATATAAAATCAAGTCAATTAAAATGTTTCAATACAATAATTAATGAATAACGTCAATGCAAACATTGTTTACAACAGTTTTATGAAACATCATGTGTTGTTTATCAAGATGGAAGTCAAATTCATGCTCATTGTGCAAAAAAATATGAACCTAATTAAAAGCAATTATGATTAAACTTTTGCTAGATGATTGTTGTAATTTTTAAAAAAGAAAAAACAATTCTCTATTTGTTATTTATATACGATTTCACAAAAACAATAAATCTTTTACATCATTCTATGATTTAAGATATATTGATATTGTAATAGTGATATGTCTAATTTCGTTGTTTTATATTTCATAGGATATGTAGGAGTGTCTACAAATTAATTAATGTATTTTTGATTATATAAAAACTTTTATTAGTACATCGATTGTTAGTTGGGATTTTTAGTTGATCATTTACTTCCTTGATTTTGAAGAAAATAGAAAATAATTTATAAAATAAAATGACATAAAAATTGAGAACTTAATGTCATTACTACTTGATTTTTTTTTGTCTTTGGCCTTTAACAATGTACTTTAATAAAATTTTGATTCAATATCTTGATATTGTATTGTCAATCAATCAAATTTTGGATATCTATTTTAATTTTATTCTCTTTGTTTTTATTATATTCGACAATTTCAATGATAGATAATATACAATTAGATTAATCTCAACCAACATCTTCTTGAAATATCATAATCATATTTTATGATGCCTTCATGTTTCATACGTTAGTAATTATTCATTGCTGAAAAACATAGCCTTGAAGTTTATCATGTAAAATTAAGTACAGAACAAAAAGAAAATTGAATAAAAATTATAATAATATATCGACAAGATCTTTTGTTAGCAAGTGACAACATGTATATAATCCAATAGAATGTTCTTATTCATCGTGTTCTCTTGAACGCCAAGGTCGAGCACCCTCGCTCGTATACGGTCATCTACCGATCAATTACGACGACAAACAGCTAACATTTGTTGAAGCCGTGTAGTGTGTCGTAAACGAAGGTTTAGGATCAATTATGGTTGTTGTAAATAATGACGGTGAAAAATCGCCGTTTATGTTTACTGTAATGACTAAACCAGCATCAAATATATTCTGTCTCTTTCTTGATATGCACTTGAAATACATAATATATATAAAGAGTTCTTTATTCAGCAATACATTCATAACAAAAAAAAAATCAAAAATGATCTTGGCAAGAACATTGTCCATTTCTATAGAAATGATGAATGCGATTAGCATCACGAACAATAATATCACGCTGTCGAGCTTTAGCTACAAGTTTTGTAAATTCATCTGAAATAAAAAACAAAAGGATACATACATTAGAAACAACAGTCGAGATGAAAACTCTAACTTACGACAATCGCCACAAACACGAAGATTTTTTGTGACTTGAATAAAGTCTGGAACAGGTCGTTGAATAAAATTGAAGGCTATTGCCAATCTTTCACTATGGCCACATAAAACTGATTGAATAGTTTCTTCTTCCTGTAATTCACGAGTTATCCAAGACGAATCACACTTATAGCCAAGTTTCATCACTTCAGACATCAAAAGAATTACTTCAGCATGAATTTCTGTTGATCGAGGATGAGAATGATCATGAGCTAAGAATGTCTAAAAAATAAACAAACTTTCTTCATTTTTTAATGTTTAGTAGAAATATTTTACCACTATTTCACCATTTGCATCAGTGAATGATAATCCTAGTTTGATTTTCGTTTCTAATTCTTTTATTTGATTAGATCGAAATTCTTTTGATAGTTGATCTTCACCAACAGATGAGTATATGTTCGAAAGGAGAATTGCACCTGACAAAAGACCTTGTTTTTGATCAGGAAACAAAGATTTCATTTGATTATATACTTTTTCAGATAAATTGCTATTACGATTATTACGTGCACCAGATAATAGACACACTGAAATAGAAAAAAAAGTAAATTATAAATAAATCTAATACGGATACTATGAACAATACTTACTATACATGACAAAACTTGCCGAATTGGTTTTTTCATATTCATCTATCAATTTTTGTGCTTCATCAAATAAAAACAAACGACTTAAACAATCAATCTTAAAAATAACATAAAATAATCATAGCTAATATAATAAATCAAATAAAAGAACAAACCATAACAGTGTATATTTTTGCTGTTTTGAAAGGAATTTCATTGAAGATATTATGAGCTTGATGAAGAAGACCCGAATGAGAACATGCATTTAATACACAAATATGTGAAATTTCATCACGTAGCTGATTCGGCATCTGTCTATATAATTCAATAGCTTCAGAACCCATTCCATTAAGTCCAAATCCATTAACTTCAAAATATATTATCCAATATTTTAAACAAACAAGAAATAATAGTAAATAAAGTTACTCATTGCATTGTATGTCACTGTATCACGATCGTGAACTGATTTATATACATTTTGTGCTTTTTCAACAGAACCACATTTGCTCTATACGACAAAAAAAAAGAAACTATAAATAAAATGAACTAGTCAATGAAAATAAAAAATCAATACGTACCCACATATGAATCAATGAGTTATGTATTTGTTTTTGATTTTGAATATGCAAAGGAATTTGATCAATAATGTATTGAGATTGTCGAATCATACCAATTTTTGAACATGCACCAATAAGTATAGTCCATACGTTTTCATTCAGAATAATACCTTGTTGTTTCATTTTTTTCAAAACCTTAAAACATTTCCATGACTTTCCATTGATGTTGTAACCATTCATTAGAGCATTATAAGTAATAATATCTTTCTTCTCGATTGAATTAAAAATACGTTCAGCACTTTGAACATCACCAAATTTCATTAGCATATGTATTGCTGAGGTTAATATAATATTATTATTTCGATAAATAACAGGTATTTCATCAAAAAGTTTTCTTCCAGTCTTCATTGCTCGATCATTGGCAAGTTGAGCACATGCATTAAAAACTATACTATAAATTACATCATGTAACTTTAAATTGGTCTTTTCGAATACATCCAATGCTTTTTCAGACATTTCATTATTTACATATCCTTAATTAAATCTCACAATATTCGAAAAACTACCTAATAAAAATTACCTTTCATCATAGCACCGTAAGTAATAATATCTTTCTTCTTGATTAAATTAAAAATACGTTCAGCACCTTGAACATCACCAAACTTCATTAACATATGTATTGCTGAATTTAATACAGTATTATCATTTCGATAATTATTAGGCATTTCATCTAAAAGTTGTTTTCCAATTTTCATCGCTCGATCATTAGCAAGTTGAGCACATGCATTAAAAACAATAGAATAAGTTATATTATTTAAATTTAAGTGCATCTGTTCAAATAAATCCAATGCTTCTTCAGACATTTGATTGTCAATATACCCTAAGATATATCAGAGAATATTCGAATCACTATCTCATATATATTACCTTTCATGATAGCATTGTAAGTAATAATATCTTTCTTCTTGATTGAATTAAAAATACGTTCAGCACTTTGAACATCACCAAATTTCATTAGCATATGTATTGCTGAGGTTAATATAATATTATTATTTCGATAAATAACAGGTATTTCATCAAAAAGTTTTCTTCCAATCTTCATTGCTCGATCATTGACAAGTTGAGCACATGCATTAAAAACAATACTATAAGTTACATTATTTAAATTTAAGTGCATCTGTTCAAATAAATCCAACGCTTTTTGAGACATTTCATTATCAACATATCCTAAATTAAATCTCACAATATTCGAAAAATGACCTAATAAATATTACCTTTCATCATAGCACCGTAAGTAATAATATCTTTCTTCTTGATTAAATTAAAAATACGTTCAGCACTTTGAATATCACCAAATTTCATTAACATATGCATTGCCGAATTTAATAAGAAAGTATCATTTCGATAAATAACAGGCATTTCATGAAGAAGTTTTCTTCCGATCTTCATCGCTCGATCATTGGCAAGTTGAGCACATGCATTAAATAAAACTGTGAGATTGTAATTGTCAGGCTTAAGTTTCATTTCTTCTAATAGATCAAATACTTTCTCTGGTATATTATTATTGATTAAACCTAATGATGAAAAATATTTGATAAGAAGAAAATTACAAACGATATTTACCTTTGAACATAGCTGTACACATATAACTGGATTTGTTTGTTGTTGCAGAGAATATACGAATGGCATTATCAATATCGCGGTATTGTACTAAAAAAAATAATGATTTGTACAGGTATATATGGAATATTATTGAACATTTAATAAATGATAGTATTTTTGTTGAATGTTTAGCATATATAATTATAAGGTATTTTATTCATGAATTGCTATAGTAATTCCTTTGTGTTTGTCTCATGAAGTAAAATCAATTTTTCGAAAATCTGGTTGAATACCTCGAATAACTGTTGGCATACTTTTATTGACTCAATCGTAGTATTTATATAACAGAATACGAAACGATATTATTTTTTTCTGGAAGAAAAAAAAACAGTGAGTTTATCCAATTGATCTAAGAGATTGAAGTTGTCTTATTGGGAGTTATACATAGAGAACGACCAGAGAAAAGTCTCATTTCTTGTCGATGTCGCTCACTCTGTGTGCCCAGATTAATTCAGTTTCATCGACTCCATTACCTGGCACTGGGCGTTCGGAATAAAGAAACAATTTTTCAGAAAGAGTCTGCATGTTTAAATATGCTGTTATTTTGTTGGAGTCACAGATATTTTTGAAGAAAACCTATCAAGGGTGTGGGTGTGGGTGTGGTTGTGGTTGCGGTTGTGGGTGTGGGTGTGGGTGTGGGTGATGTGTTGGGTGTGGGTGTGTGGGTGTGGGTGTAGACTAATTGGGAGAAATTATATTTACTCACACCCACAGACACTCACACGGAAACACCCACACCCACACGCACACCCACCCACATCCACACCCAACCCACACCCATACCCACACCCACACCCACACCAACAACCCCACACAACCAAACCCCAACAAAACACAAAAACACAAACACACAA